ACAAAAAAGTGTAATACGTACGTGACCGTAAAAGAACTACAAGAGTGTAATCAATGTGAATCACTGTGTATTTCTCAATTTCTTACTTTAGGCAGTGCTTCTTTGATCACTCACTGTGATTCCCTCAAGATCCATGTTTGCATCCTCTAAAGCTCTTTTGAATGAGATTATTGATGCAACTGGCACTCATCTGCATGTACATTATAATGATGTTTACAAGAGTGGTAAGGTCAGCAATTAGACCAATTTGTATATACCAAGGCAAAAATGTGGTTCAGATGCCACTATAAACTGTAGGTCCCTTAGTTGCCATTAGCTGTATGGGCTATTAATTAACTGCTGTGTCTAAGGAATAAGTCGGCCTTAGTCACTAACAAGACTACAAGATCGCGCCACTCATCCTACACTCATCTCCATTCATACTGGGCTTAAAATACCTACTTTGTATGGTCGCCATTTCATTCAAAAAGTATTAAATATAGAGTGTAAATAAACGGTATCAGAATTCTGACACATACTTTCTCCCACAAGTTTGTCAACAACCTTTATCATGTGTAAGCAGTGAGAGTAAATATACAGAAATAGGATTTGTGCAATTTTGTTAAGAATTTAAAGTACTATAACATACTACATTTTTATTAAAATCGTTCGGACCATTTTTTAGAAAATCCATTTTTCCATTATTTTATGGGGTTTTATGAGAAAATCTCCATCAAAAATCAAAATGTCTAAAAAATGAAAGAAACTATCAAAATTGTAAGTACCATAACATACGATGTTAAATTAAAACCGGATTTTTTCAAAAATCCCATTTTTCGTTTTTTTATGGGAGAATAACATAATTTACAATAACTTTTGAACCATAATTTTTACAGAAATGGAATTTGTACCATTTTGTTCAGAATTTTAAGGGCTACAGGGCCATTTTTGAGAAAATTCGATTTTCCGGGTTTTCATGGAAAAATCCCCATTAAAATCAAAATTTCAAAAAAATGAAAAAAAACGCCTGGAGATACCATGGATTAGAACCTACATACCAAATTTCATCGAAATCGGACCACAGGTGTAGTCCCTAGCTCTGTACACAGACACACACACGCACAGACATCACTTCAAAAACCACTTTTTTAAAATTTTGACGAAAACAATACTTTCTCCATATACTATGGTATAGGGGGAGAAAGTAAAACGATTGAACCCAGGCAAATACCCTGCAGTACTCCCTTTAAACTTATTAAAAGGTTTCATTAGTACACATTTAGTATGTGTGCAACACATCCCATCCTGATTATCTGGGATCAGTTTCCCAAGTACGACCTAAAGCCGGGTTTTCCTAGGCGCGGAGTCGGCAAGCGGAGAGAGGAACGTGGAGAGCGGACTCCAATTGTCTTAGGCAATGTTACTGTTTTCCTAGAAGCGGAGCGGAATGCCATGTTAATTTCAATTCCGCTCTCCGCGTTCCTCTCTCCGCCCGCCGACTCCGCGCCTAGGAAAACCCAGCTTTTAATAATAATAATAATAGTAATAACAATAAATAATAATAAATCAACAACAGAAACATTTTCTAAAAATACATCAATATATTTACATTAATAGGAATATTATCAACTAAGTTACTAATGCTATCAACAAAGAAGAACTAAAGGCTTCTGCGTCAAGATTGTTGTTGTTAGCCATCATAACTGGTAACTCGTTAATATTATAGATAAACTATTTTTTATAATTTTCCCCATCTCTTTGGGATTGTTATAATAAACTCACTTTGCTTCTTTTACTTTATTGTTGTACACACTCATGTGGCTACTGTAATCCCAGACAGCACACTTTATCCCAGGGACATCCCATAGTAGTCCCATATGTCCTGAGAATGTCTCGGGATATGTGCGTTATCCTCAGGATATCCCGCAAAATCCCGGGACGAGTACGAAATCCACAGGATATCCTACAATATACCGTAATGTCCCGGGATTTGTAAGTTAACCTCAGGATATCCTGTAAAGTCCCGGGATATGTACGAATGCCATAGGATATCCCAGAATGTCCCATGACATCCCGGGACATGTACAAAATCCACTGGATATCTTGTAATGTCCCGGTAACAAACTGAAGAAAAAAAATACTACCACTGATGAAATGTACAGTATATCTAAATTTAAATGTTCAACAAGGCCAATATATAATAATTTGTTTTTTTCACTAGTGCTTTCAGAAACTTGGTTTCCATCTTCAGGCTGTGTTTACACTAGTACAAAAAGTAAATATTTACTCAATAAATTAATTTTAAACAAAGTTAAAACAGATGATTTAAAGGATATTGGAAAAATAAAAAATAATATTACAAAAATTAATCTTTTGAATTTTGGATATGTTACAGTGTTGTTCTTGATGTAATTATTTTCAGTAATTCCGAATTTATAATTGGGCCGTCTTCATTATTTAACAAATAATTTTGGTCTGTTTTTTTTTCTTCTAAAAATAAGATTCCCACGCATTAAGATGTTGAGGTTTTATAATTTATTTTAAAAGTTTAAGGTTTCCCAGATTCAAAATATGTCTTGTTAATACTATGGCTAGCAAGGGTTGACTTTACTTTACTGACATATTACTACCACTGAGTTCAGGAAAACTAGAGTTCTATCATAGTTGTGTGGAATGTGAATTTAATTCTAACTTTAAATTAATAAAACAACAAAAAACTAATTTTAATCATATAACAATCAATTATTACAGTGCTAATCTAATGTTGATTAAATAATCTATATTCAAATACCAGTATCCTCTCCAACTACCAGAAAAACAATTCAACTACTTGAGGCCTAAACAGATTAACAGAATCATATATAGCCTATACTGTAGCATCAAAAATATTTTAAGTATTGCGACCATTGCAACTGTCTGCTACTCTTTAACCACTTGAAAACACCCATAATCAACAAGCGCAGATAGCTCAGGAGGTAAGGTAAGAGGCTCACAAGGCGAAGGTACCAGGTTCGAAACCCGTCTGGGCCAAAAACTTTTTTCTCGTTTTTTTCTTCAAAATTTGTGTTTATTAACTATTTAATCAATTTACTAAACTTATAATTAAGCTTTTCATACTAAATCTATATTATTTTGTGTTTTTTATGTTCAGGCCCAGACCACACTTTATCCCAGGGACATCCCATAGTAGTCCCATATGTCCTGAGGACTACCCTGGGATGACCTCGGATGTCCCACGGATATGTGTGTGAGCTTATCCGTAGGACATCCCCGGGCGGGGACATTAGGCATTCCTGTGGATATCCTGTGATATCCCAAGTTGACCATAGGACCACTATGGGATATCTTGCATATCCTGTCGCAATATCCGTGGGATGTCCTGAGGAGAAAGTGTGCTGTCTGGGATGTTTTTTATGAACCTCCAAGCCAGTTGTTTTGCTTAGATGAAATAGATTAATAGATCTAGACATTTTTTTTCAATAGCCTAAGCTCGTGAGTGTACCAATGACCAGCAGAACTATTAGTATGTAGTGAACTTTGTTTTTTTGTTTTTTTTTTAATCACAATTTTATTTACAATCTGTTCATTTTTTGAACATTCAGCAAATACAATAACAATTATTAATAAAACGTTAGTTAGTCTATGTCCATTGGCAGATCTAACTTAAAAATATTTCAATGAAAAAATAAATAAGTAAATAAACAGGAGAAAATTAAATTGTTCAAACAAAACGTGAGCTTAGGTCCAGGACATGAATCCTTTTCAGCCTGTATATACAGGTACTGTTGTCCAAAAGGTTTAGAGCCAGGTGATTGGGGTGATTTTCAAGCTTCTTTAGATATTTTGTACTAAATTTGGTTATTTCCTCTTCAACAGTCGGAATTCCACTGTCTTTGTGAAGGATATTGTTATTAACATACCACGCGGGGCTTGCACGGATGAACCTTAAAACTTTTGACTGAAATCGTTGGATGATGTTTATGTTCGACATACTAGATGTTCCCCACAGTTGGATTCCATAAGTCCAAATTGGCCTCAGGATTATTTTGTACCGTATAGTAATAATTTATTTGCAATGGTCAATTTTGATTTACTATTTAGGAGCCAGGAAAGATTTTTTAATTTTAAATTTAGGTACATTCTTTTGTTCCAGATGTGGTTTTTCCATGTTAATCTTTTTTTAGTCAATCGTCATGCCGAGATATTTCACTTCATGGGATTGAGGAATTTGGACATTATTTAAGGTTACAGGAGGACAAGTACCTAATCTGGTAGTGAAGGTCACATGAGTAGATTTGCTCTCATTCACTTTTATTTTCCATGTTTGCAACCATTCTTCTAAGTCATCTAGCGAATTTTGAAGATTAAGTGAAGCTACCACTGGAGCCTAAAGCTCGTGAGTGTACCAATGACCAGCAGAACTATTAGTATGTAGTGAACTTTTAACCATTTTAAATGGAAAACAGCAATTTATATACATTAAAAATACATTAATAAAAAGACAAATTTTAACATCACTAAAGTTGACCTACAATAGGTCTTTTCGTCGAGACCTTTTTAACGATACGGAAACGGCATGTGAATGAGGTTGTGCTAATAGCATATTATAGTGCGGGCACCGGAATCACTATAGAATCATCTGTAACTTTTTTGTATAGAAAAAGATGGGTATAACAATGTTATATAGCAGGTTTTGCTATAAAGTATAAGCCCGCTTAACTTACAAACATAACACAATAGCCATCAGCGGCACGAAATCCCCTCGAGAAGTTCAACCTCCAGATAATAATATACATCTCTTAATATACATTACTCAAATTAATATAACACCTTAAATATATAATATAGGTGTATAACACCTTTAATGTTTACTGGCTTGACCAAGGCGGCCGTGGCTTGACACGCTATGCTCACCGAGTTTAATCAGCTGTTTTGTTTGAGTCAGCACTTTGTTTTCTTTTTCTCTGTTGCTGACTGCGACGGACGACTCAGTCTCAGTCATCAGTCATCATCATAAACAATATAGGTGGCTGTGGGTTGGTAACCGTGACAAAATAAAGTAAATTTTTGTCCAAAGTTTTGATGATTTGTTTATTATTTTATTAAAAATGCAGTAGGCACGATTATTTTTGTGTGGGAAGTTCAAGTAATCAGTATTTGTGTGTTTAGGTTTCCACGGTAAGTAGATATGGCATGAAATTATGTCAGTTTTTTAGTTACTTCATGGTCATGATGTAATGGCCTGTTAACCCTAGAGGGAATGTTATAATTTTATTCAAATTAACTTGATCTGTCTGTTTTGTGTGCGAAATACAATTTATAACGCAATAATTTTAGATCCATCAACCGACTGATTCAACCATTTTGGCTAGGCCTAAGTTAACAGTGCATGATTGTGAATACTGTACTCACAGACTTAGGCCTAGGCCTAGCCTTAAAAATCATAAGTTACTGTATTTCTTCTTGAAAACAATGATCAAAGGCATAACCCAACCTATAGTTAGGCTTTTGTTGACACAGTGACGCTAACAATAAGTTATTGTGTGAATATTTGTACTGTGTTACAAGCTTAGGCCTACCAGTCCTGTCAACTAATATCTTATTAGGCTTAGGGTAATGAAATATACAATTGTTTCAGGCCTAGGTTCTTGAGCAGTTACCGGCAATGTATTGTAGTTCGTAAGAACACCTAGCTTATTAACAACCTGATGTGTCAAAGTTGTAGTAACTTAACTTAGTAGGCCTACATGCAGATAGTAGGCCCAGGCCTACGTTATTTTTATCTAAATAATGTTAAGAAGTTTTTTTTTTACAAATAACAACACTAAGTTGGACCAAATTTATAGAAGTTGTTAGGTTAAAAGATATCATGTTAGGTCCCCTTACTAATCCACTCTAGGAGCTAGCCGAGGGACTATAGCCCTGGCCAGCAATAAGTTAATAATGCAAATTTAAATGAGGTGGCAGAAAATTACGGTACAAACTTTTAATGGTCCATGCTAATACATGTTAGCCTAACATAGAAAAGTAAAAAACACACTCCCTTAGGCCTAACTTAGTAGATTTCTCATCCTTGTGGATCAGCTGAAGACAATTTTATTGTTAGTTCCATCCGGTGCACTGTGAGGTGTTTATGTCGGGTAGGGGCACCTATCCTAAACTTAATTACCTCCGATTTGCTCGGACAGCTCGAGTAGTCCAGGGTTCTCGCTAACAGTCTCCGTCGCTTGCTAACCGCTTCTTGATCTTCGTAGATGGTACCTTCGTCGTCCTACACGCACGAGTATACCTACTATGTTTGTATGTCAGCACAACGACGCACTGACTAGGAATATATCGGTACTAAATACGATGCTTCTATGTGAACTAAAATACGTGACCAGCTTCTAGGCCTAACAAAAGGTAGCGCTTCTCAAATAAAAACTAAAAATAATATTCTCGTATTGAAATAAAATGTCGTCACACGCAATAACAAAATAACGAAATGAAATACTTTTGAATAAAATAAAATAAACGTTGTAGGCTACTGTGGCACTGCACTCGCAGTGCCGGCCTGAGAAATGCAATGTACGATAATCTCTTACAACTAAGGCGATCGTAACGAAAATTAACTTTTACTCGCCAAAGTAAAACGGGGAAATAATACTAATAATGTAAGGATACAATGCAGTACTTACGCCTGTCAATACTTATTTCGCTTAATATTATCGCCTTTATTTTCGCGCTTGTTGCGTATCGCATCCACAACTTATTCTCGCCGCAGGTCCGCTATATATCTCAGGAGGGGGTGTTTGGCAAACAAGCACTCGCCATCAACTGTCTCAAGAAATGTCCACTGTCCACCGGTCTCAGCGCCTATCCCCCACTACCGCTACGTTAGCGCTCCGAGGTCGCGGCGGCCAAGTCACGAACTAGGAGACTTGACTTGCAATGGACATGTTTGTCATTGTTGTCGAGCGCGCTCGAGCCTTTGCGGCCTTAAAATAATTAAAACTAACTCGACTTTGGAAGTAGCCTTTCCTGGGGGTGAAATCGGGTAAGTACCCGTAAGCTCACGGGGACACTCTAGGGGAGCGTAACTTTCCGCAGTGTGAGGGCAACGGCTGGGCGCACTCCATCAGCCAATCCCTGTCTCTGAGACCGGAAGGTATGGTTATCTAGAGTGTGGGGAGTTCTCCCTGGAACTTCAATTGAGCAAAGGGTGTCGCCACCTTTGGTGGATAGGTTCATCCGGGTGGGACCCACTTCTATTCCTGCCTCCTTTTGGGAAACCCTGATGGCCTGGCAGTGATGTTGGGCTGGACGGGCAAACAAAGTAGATCGGGTGCTGGGTTCAAGCCCGCTAGGGGTGTTCAGGGATCTATCGCCTTGGTCACCTCTGGTTTCCCAGCAACTGGGTAAGGCCTCGTTCGGGTAGTGGTGTAAATAGGTGGTTGGGGTTCCCCCCATCAGCTTGCTGGTGGTCCCCTTCTTCCTGGCTTTGATGGCGGGCTCTGCCTGTCAGGGATTGGATAGGTTCCGAGTGGTGCTTGCACTAAATGCGTCAGGGCATTCCATTATGGTCCTTCCGGGTTTTCTACCTGGGGGAACCCAGGTGGAGTGACGCTTAAACAAGTAGCCGGTATCCTTGGTTAGGATTGAGGGGAAACCCTCTCTCCGAAGGGTTGCTTCGGCAGCCGGTGAGCCTGATGACCTTAAGTCATCCTCCCATGATGTGCCAAAGGTTGGTGCATTAGCTTCGGCCTACATCATGGGGCCCGGGTATGTTTAATTATAGGTACCGGGCTTGCAGTCAGGGAGCTTCATGCTCTCATGACAAAACAAAATGGGAAAAAATGGAAAAAAAATAAAACTAACCCCCCTAATAAAATTTGACCATTACAGCACTGTAGAGGACATGTTTACAATTTTTTTCTTGTTGTTTTTCAATAATTTATTTACCTATTTTGCCTGAAGGTCTTGTAGGTGATCTAATACTCGATGCGCATTTCGCCGCTCAGTGCGGCATCTTCATAGAGTATCTTCTTACACTACTGTAACTATGTACATATTTACACTAACTTATATCTTCCATTCACTATCCGGTCATATTCACGGTCGCGACGGCGAAACGAGCGGCGGGGTAGCCTACATTTTGTTCCGCACTGTTGACGTGATAAACTTGTACTGGGTCTGGGTGGTTAGGCAGTGACAGGGTTATGATCGATCATGGGATGTTAGGCATTGTTTGTAAGGGATGGTCGCTTTCTCTTTTGCGCTGTTGCCATTTTTTTACGGTGTTGCCAGATCGTTGGGTTTTTATTGTACTGTACCGGCTCACTCCTTGCTCTGCTGTAAACGATCCACGCACGGGCGCTTAGTCTATGTGGACGGGCAAATGCAAGGTTAAAAGAGGCCGCCAACCTCTAAAAAAAAAAGGTTAACCAAAATTTTGGAATTATGGTAGTCCTTTTTCTTGTTTAGGAGGGTGTCAGGGTTAGTGTTAATTTGCTTATAAATTTTGTAGGCCTAACTTTCTTTGACTATTGCAGTAGGTTTGGAGTTGGTTCTGTGGAGGGTCGGTAATGATTCAGGATACGTAATTTTGTGGCCCTGATTTTCTTTCAAGTGTTTAGCTACTATTGAGCTGGGGTTGGCATGATGTTGAGTGTTGTGTTCTTTGAATCTTTTGCTGAAAGATCTCTTTGTGTAGTCGATATATTGTTTATTGCAGGGGGGCGCACATGTAATTTTATAGACTCAGCATCAGGAGGGTCGTTCATTAGATAACCCAAATATTCAAGACACTCAGCAAAATAAGATGATAGAACATCATAAACATCCACCTACCTAGGGCCTAAGGAATTTATGTAAATGAAGGTCTCCAGTAGGCTTCGCTCGCAGCCAAATAAGCTGGTGAAAAATTAAAGTTGGCACCCAACTTCTATTGAAGTCTGTTGTATAGGAATGGGTATATGTGGCTAACTAAAAAAAATGTGCACATGTTTCATGCTATCAAGAAGCTCTACAAAAAAAGGAGGCTGGTAGCAGGCCTCAAAGGCGGCTTCAGACATGCGCCATTCGCCAAGCATAAAGTATTTGACGTTCGGCAATCCAGTTGTCTTGCTATTCGCCAATTAACGAGTAGACGTCTACACACGTGTTGTTTTCCGAGCAACTGTTCATTTCGGGAATAGCAAATATTCGTTCACTTTGATGTGTGCAAAAATACCGACAATGAAAGGGACAACACGACCTTGAATGTTTGCTGCTTGCCAAATAGACAAACACCTATTCACACTTGCTACTCGGTGCGTGGTGAAAGGTGCATGTCTGGAGCCGGCTTTGGTTTCCATCGAGATAGAGGTAGGCCTAGGCCTATAAAGTTGAGGAAATTTTGCTTGTGGATTGAGATGTATAAGTCTAACAGGTACTAACCATTGCCCTTGCTAGTTCTAAAGATATCTCATATCAGTTTGACAATCTCTTGTTTAGCCACACAGCAATCCACCACATGCTAAATTCCCTAATTCGTTCACTGCCTCAAGCAAAACTGATTTAACAACTGCAGCTGGCCTACACCATGCAGAATATTAATTTACTGTAGCCTAAAAATTTATACTGTATATGAAAATTTACTACATCAAGATTCACAGACCATCTAGGTTATGTTTGACCTTGAAACCTTCTTACTGCTAGATAACAGTAAAATTTAAAAAAATGTAGGTCAAATAAATTTTTGTTTTTAATAGGAAATGATAGATGATTATCAATTTTTATCTCAAAGTACTAAGGTCTAGATTAAAAGCAAACTTAGATATAGCTTGAAAAAACTATTAAAAATCAATACATTATTCATAATGAAATCCTTAACTGAGAAATTAAATATACAAAACCACATTCACCTCTCCTAATCCATGAAATGTGCACAAGATCTACATGCCCAAGTTGAAGTCTATAATATAGAAGCACCTTTATAAGAGGTCAGTGTATAGTCCGGAGGAACTAAACAATCCTCTCCTCTCCACTATTTTCCTCTCAATATCCCCCCCAAGTGTTTTAACAAATGATGTCATATATACTAAGTTTTAAATAACTAAAATGTTTTTGTGTAAATTAATTGACAGGATCAATTAACTGTGTTGCAATTAACGTTCAATGATGTGTGCAATTTAACTACTCATCTCATGTTAACCAATATTAAAAAATGTGTACTGAATGTAGTAACTTAAGCCATGTAATCGTAGGACAGGCAGTAGAGGCTGAAAGGAAATTCCACTTATGTAGAGTTAGGGCAGGGTGACAATGACCCTGGATTAGATAATGATATCAGAGATAAGGTCCATTCTTCCACAGGCAACAAATAAATAGTTGTCTGGACTAGTTACAAAAGGTCCCTAACCTTCAAAAATACAAAAATCAATCACATCAGTTAACTCATTTGTCTTTCTGGACAGAAAGCTATTTGTATAATCAACAACAGTAACAAAAGCTACAAAGATCATTACACTTCATTCTACCCTCATCCTTCACTTATATTAAGGGTTAAAATTTGCACCTAGGTAGCATCCGCATCTCAATTGGTAATAGTAATAATAATCACATTCAATTTCTTGTAGTAGCTCTGTTTAGGAGTTTTGTACAAGCCTGCAGATCCCTTTCCATTCAAATCTGAGACTTTTATTACAACCTGCTTCACTATATTTTTCTGCTTCTTATTTAAGTAATTTCAGTATTTTCTATCACCATAGCTTTTTCTCTAGGTATATTTTTTTCCACAAACTGGTATCACATCAGCGACGTGGTCGTCAGGTTAAACTTGTCTGGCTTGGCTATTCATTTTATACATTGACTTCATTTCCTCTTCAGGGATGCATATGGCCTAGAAATTTCATACACATTGTAGCAGGCCGCTTGACTTAAATATGTTTTTAACAGGTTCTTGAATTTAATTTTACACTACTCTATACTTTGAGATAGAGAGTTACGTGGCGCTATACAACTGCTCTCATCAAGTAGGGAGAAGCAATGCTCATTTTTGGTTGAATACCGTACTTAAATAGTGATGATGTATCTGATGGGTTGAAACTAATGTATCTTGCCAAAACGTACACATTAATAAACTTAAATCTAGCTTTTAACATTTATTTAATTATTCAGATTTACATTAATATTAACAGTTACTAAGCTTTTAGTAAGTATGTAAAGCCGTACCTCAAAACTGTATTGTTCATTTTGTAGAGTCTCATTTTGCGATGCAAATAATTTTATTTTGGTGTTCATGAAATGAATAATTGTTTTTTTGATTAGAATATTATCTGATGTAAGTCTACAGAAGTAAATTTAGGATTATAACTCAAGTTTCAAAGTATTTTGTTATGAAAATATGGTAGCAACTTCCCCTTTGAATTAACCTTTAAATGCCAAGGGTTGACCTTTCCTAATTAATTTTAGCAGTGCTCCTTTGTAGCTTGAGTAAAGTACTTGGCTTTGGCTTATATTATTGTTGTATCAAACTTATTGGTGTACAAATTACTTAGTCCTACAGAGTACCCTATATTAGTATTTTATGTATATTATATAATAACACTTTGATTATAATTTTTTAGTTGGCTAATCTTCTACAAATTGTGTTTATATAGACGAGTAAGATATTGTAAAAGCTTAACCAAATTCATTGTTTTTATGGGTATTTATTTCAAATCTAGACAATTTTTCTTTTATTACCTTTTCACATCTGAGGGGTGATTCCACACTTTAAAGGGATATGAATGTTTCAGATGATGATACAAAGATCCAGTGTCTAGAGGAGGCAGCAAGATGAAGAAACAATTTTTCCGAGTCAAGCAGCTTGCTGACCAAACCTTCTCCAGGTGAGATATTTTAAGTAACCAACTTAACAAAAATACAAACTTAATACACCATAGCTTTAATCAAGATGGGGTCACAAATTTTGACTCATAAATAAAGTCAGTTTTCAAAATGTCCTATGGTAAATTGTACAGGTTGTAATTCTCCTGGTATGTGTGTAGGCCTACAGTTTTAAATGTTTATAATTTTTTCTAGTAGGTTGTTGGCATTCATTATTTAGGTTTAGTAATAGAAGGTAGGGCCTATACTCACACCTGTGATGCCAGCCAGCATTATGAGTCACAATTGGCAGATTATTACAATTCTTATTAAAATATATAACTAGGCCAGCTATTTTTTTACAATTTCAAATATAATGATTTCAGATCTTGTGTCTTTTGCATAACGATATGCTATGATAGCTCCCGCTGGCTCTACTCTTGGAAAATGTTACATTTTTTGGTGTAGTAACCAATTATTTTTACCTTTCTACTAAAACAGCTCAATTCCACACAGTTGATCTTTAACACGTTTGCTGCGGCACGTCAAATGGCGGGCGTATCCCCAGTGCGGCGCAGCCCTCAGCGTCGAACAAACCCGATTGCCGCGTGTGATTGGCTTTCCAATTTCGGTCTGACGAATAGCAAAGAACGTGCAGGGATGTCCTGCTTTACAACGAGAGTTGACGTAGTTTGCTAAACACCCACAGATAGCAGCACTGCTTGGAACGTAGCCGGTCCCATTGGAATTGTATTGCCAAATTGAGGGAAAAAGACGGGACAAAAAGTTGATTTTTAAGCTTGCCAGACAGGGATTTTACGGGGAAATTTACTACCAACCTACACCACAACAATATGTGAGTCACATACTACACGCTAACGTAGTATAGGTCCGCTTTCGAACGACGCTAAAGCAAAAACGAAGATATACAAAAGGCATTGCCGAGCGTTCCCGATCGGGTACGGACGACCGTACGGGGGCCGAGCACCGTACCCGATCGGGAACGGCCGCACTCAACGTGTTAAAAAAACTTCAATTGACATTCTTTTAAATTGTATGATTTTGCCTGTCCTGAATATTACTTTTCCTGTTCCAAACAATACTTAAACCTGTTCAAAACTAACTTGTTCCTTACCCAAACAAACAAAGTTCCTTTTTAGCTCAACAAGAGCACTAAATGTGTAGGTTATGTATTCTAGTTTATTAGCCTATGAGAAATATTATTGAAACAGCTGACATTTAAATATAGTAGTACTCCAATTATCCAAACACCAACTATTCAAATCACTTTATAGAAAGAATTAAAAAAATCTTAAAACCACAATTATAAGAATCTTGTTTTAATAATAGCAGAGGCCAAGATCGCTACATTGTTTTTTGCGACTGCAGCAAAATCGGGCACATCTTCCGCGGTCTTGTAGAAATCATCGTCTCCCAAGGTCACAGAAAAATTGTCATCATTCTCAAAGATTGTGGGCAAATCCTGATTATCTTCCTCGTTCTTGTATCATCTTCTTCTCCCGCAGACATAGAAAATCATAATCATCCTCTACAAATGCGGCAAAAAATTGTCCTGCCTATTTTGCCCTATTTCCTGTAAAATACTCTGAATTTCAGTTAAGATCCAATCAAACAAATTTTCGATTATCCGAAAATGTTATGGTCCCAATTGATTCGGACAATTGGAGTTCTGTAAATTGTAAAACTATGTTATGATAGCCTTATTTTAATTGAATACTACACTATGAAATAATATTTTACTATATAATGGCAAGAAGCTTCATAAGATCATCCTTACCATGATGAAGTATCATACTTGAATAGTACTCACAAGTCTCAACACACTCACAGTAGTCTCAAAAGAAAAGTGATCCCATTTTGGAGTTTGATAGTTGTTTCCTCTCTTGACTTTGACTCATCCTAAACAACCTTTATCTGGTCACAAAATGGTTTTTGTTTTTGAGATTAGTAGTAAATTATATTCAATAGGCCTATTTAACAATCCAAAGTAGAAAAAAATTTGTTTGTAAATGAGAAATTTTCAATTAATTCATCCTATCTGATTAAAACTATTCTCGTAGAGTTCAAGATGGTTTGCAGGAACCAATTAAACTGCCAAGCACTGGTCAATTAGGTTATTCTTGACTTTGATTTTTCTTGACTTCTGAATATTGATTTTTTACTGTTTACAATGTTGATGTAATTACTTATCTCATGTTATCTGTTACTCTGAATCACTATTTATCTTGTGCTTATCCAAGAACATGATTATGTGTTTGTTGGCATTGTTAAATCTACCACTAGTGTTTTTTTTTTTATTTGGTAGCCTAACCACTAACCAATAACAAGGTTGTATTGGAACAAGTTTGCGAACCAGCATGACTGGACAATGGCAATAGGGTCTTGTGTTGTAAAAATGAGGTTTTCCCATTTTTTGACCCTCAAACCATAAAATCTTGCAATATCCCTCTAAACTATTTTGTAAAGCTTAAAAAAACTCAAAGCGTTGTTGTGTAGTCAGCTGCTACGGAGGAATTTAAAAATGTTGAAGTTATTTTTTGCAAAATACACAAATAGTCTTTCATACTAAGCTATCTAAGTTTACTAAAAACGCACTTTATTAACTTCGCTGCATCAGCAAACCTATGTACTTGTTGGATCTAATGTTATATAAATATTTAATAAATCTGACATATTTAAGAAATTAGTACCAGAGGACTGAGCATTGCTCTAGGTGTTTGATTTGTTCAAGAGGTTAAAAAAATAAAACCTAAAAGCCTACAAATATTTTTAGTTTTGCTACGACTAAAGTTGTAAAGTTAGCCTAATTTGTTTTAGGTAGACATTCACTCGTTCCTAATTTACCTAACAAACCTTAAGCAACCTCCCTATTTATAGTAATGAGAAAATACTGAATTAAAGATGTTGTTGTTAAACTTTGTACAATTAAATCTACAGTTCTAATGAACCGATTTTAATAATTTATAGGTCATTGGAAAGCATAATTCGTGTAGATTTGGAAATAATTATGAAAGTTTGATTTTTAAGATTTACTAGGTGAAACCCGTCAAAGTCGACAGTTACTGTTGAGGTTGCAAGCAAGATCGTTGACTATAAATCGATGATAAATAACTCAATTTTTTTAACAATTTGGGTTGTTCGTGATTTAGCAGTGTGCTTTAGGTAGCCTAAGTTACGTCCGATCTTAATAATCAATAATTAAAATGGAAGCTGGTATTTCACTGAAGTTTCTTAAGTCAAAAGAACCTGTTTTTGTATAATCTTTTGGAGAACTGCAAATAGGATAACGTAATCTAAAACATATCTAAAACTTAAAGATATACCTAATCAAATTTAGGTTTTCTGATTGAGTGATGCAGTATCTTGAACATAACTGATTAAATTATCAATATCTCAAATGAAAACCTTTATTTCTAGAAGTATTTTAAGACCAAGACTTATAAAATAACTTAAATAAAAATAGAGTTACGTATCATTGATTGCAGATAAGTACTAAAACGATTATAATTAATTACAGTATTGTTGATTCATGTTTCAGCAGTGTGCTTTAGGTAGTCCGATCTTAATAATCAATAGCTCAAATATAATCTGTATTTCACTAAAGGTTTTTAGACCAAAACATATTGGGTAATGTAATTAGGACTCCTGGAATACATCTTTAATTGAAGTAAAAAATTGAAAAAGGTATATTTTTTGTCGAGTAATACAGATAAATTAATGATGATACTTGATGACAAATATGTGCTTGCATAGCTTTATTTTAAGACCAAAACTATAAAAATCGGTCGGGTAGAGCCAAACGAACTCGAAAAAAAAAAAAAAATTTAACTCCCATAAGAAATGTACAGGGAGGCAGTTTGTGCATAACTCGAAATAGACGTTAAAATGAATGCTTGATGGCAAATTTGTGGTGCGTCCATACCTTTAGTTTAAGGCCAAATTATGAAAATCAGTAGGGTAGAAGAGCTAACCCGACTTGGAAAAGAAAAACCAATAAATGTTATAGATGACAATAATTGGTTTACCATTATGCATAATCTAATCATACAAAACATGTGTTAACAATTAATTGAACAGCTTATTGATATATTGTCATTTAATTTATTTTTATTTCATTGAATGTTGTTAACAATTTGCATTTGTGTTTAAAGTGTGTTCCTTATGTTAAGTGTGTGATTCTAATGTTATGTGCTTAATCTGTACCATTAATATTAGTAAGTAAAAGTGGTGTATGGATTTCATAACCATTATTTTACTAGAGACCGTTGTATTTAACCACAACGGGCTCTGTTGCTAGTAGACTAAATAAAATAACCTGATAGTTTTATTGAATATTTTCATATCCACCCAGCTGTAGGTTCAAACAAATTATATTGCACAAAAAGAAACCCAAGATTATAATGACCGCTCAAAAAATACAGGGTAGTAAAAAAGTCCCTGGACAGTTAAATATTTAAAAAAAATAATGCAGATAGAGCTACAATACTTGGTACAAAGTTACAGGGCATAAAACTCTATTTTAACACATATTCAGTGATCCAATAACTCTTCAGGGGGGCGGCCCACAAGGAGTCGGAAGAAAATCTTAAATGGAAGCATAGGTCAATATGCACATCAAATTAAAGGTCTTTTTTAGTAGAACACAATGCCGCAAACCGCACTTCAAAAGGTTGATCCTGCGCAAAATGGCAGATGTTCAAAGATTTTCAAAATTAGCCAATTTCTTTAAATTAAAACACTTTTAAATCTTTAAACAACTGTCATTTTTTAACGGATGGTTCTTTTGAAGTGCGGTTTGCGGCATTGTATTCTACTAAAAAAGACCTTTAATTTGATGTGCATATTGACCTATGCTTCCATTTAAGATTTTCTTCCGACTCCTTGTGGGCCGTCGCCCTGAAGAGTTATTTGGATCACTGAATGTGAAGTTATGGGAATCATTTTAAAGGGAATTTTAAGCAAAGAAGAATGCCGCAAACCGCACTTCAAAAGAGCCATCCGTTAAAAAATGACAGTTGTTTAAAGATTTAAAATTGTTTTAATTTAAAGAAATTGGCTAATTTTGAAAATCTTTGAACATCTGCCATTTTGCGCAGGATCAACCTTTTGAAGTGCGGTTTGCGGCATTGTGTTCTACTAAAAAAGACCTTTAATTTGATGTGCATATTGACCTATGCTTCTATTTAAGATTTTCTTCCGACTCCTTGTGGGCCGTCCCCCTGAAGAGTTATTGGATCACTGAATATGTGTTAAAATAGAGTTTTATGCCCTGTAACTTTGTACCAAGTATTGTAGCTCTATCTGCATTATTTTTAAAAATATTTAACTGTCCAGGGACTTTTTTACCACCCTGTATATTAGAACATCTAGTATTTTACTATGTATATTTAAATAATCACACATAAATAATAACACATAAGTGAACCCTACGTATGTAGATTCATTTTTATCCAAATGCAGAATTTGTGTCAAAAACGCTGAATGCTTACAGCTGTTACGTTAAGCAAATGGTATTATACCAAAAACTAGTCTAAATTGTTAGCTCTGCTGCTACACTTAAAAAAAATTAAAACTTCTAGAAAACTGAAACCCTAAACTAAAATAATGGCTTCGACATTATCTAGTTCTCAAAATGATCTTTCTTTCAACTTAAAAATCATGAAAATCCGTCAAGTGGTTGATTCAGAATTGTGAAAACCCCTATCACGTTTTAATATATATGATCTGTAAACAAGGCTAGACCAATGGGTTGTGAATTGATTGTTATAATGTTATGGACAAAGCTGTGAATGTGTGATTTATACTCATTTTGCCATCCAAACCATCCAAAGAATATCAGATGTCAAAATGAACAAAATTCCCCTTCTTACCTTATTTCTTACTTTTGTCCTTCTATTGAGTTTAAGATAACTAGCTGTTACCCACGGGCTCCACCCCATTTTACTACATTAGTATTAATAAAACTATTGATTGGTTAAGTTAAGATGAAATAAACAAAGCAGAATACAAACAAATAATAACAGCTGAGGTATTTTTAACATTAGGTAAATGGAAAGTTCCCTTTGGAAAGCAATTACGACCTTATAGGGCAACTTATGAAATAATGGATAATTTTGCGCAAGGTTTCTCGTCATGACGAACATTTTAAGTATATGGTTTATGGGGGTGTGACTTGTAGTTTTCTCAAAAGTTCATTGGTACTTTTGGCTTTATATATAGATGTTCTTAACTCGTCTTATAGTGAATTCAATTCCCGTAATAATATACTATGTGTTTCCTTTAACTTTGGAGCTTGTTATGTTCTAATGGATCCAAACGAAAGAGTTCTCCAATCGTCAATAAACTACTTGTCTTTTTAATGAATGTTGTACAAAGGAAATGAGAGTGTGTGAAGGAGAAAAAACATGAGTCATTGCTCCAAGTTGTTTTGAGTTTCAGCTTCTAGAATTTCTAGAAATAAAGCACTCCATGTGGGTCTTTCTCCTCTGACAAACATGTATTACGTTTATTTAGGTCTATTAACAGATTTCCCTGTTCACCAAAAATTTTGCAGGTTTTTCCTACTTGCTAATTTAGTAACTCAATGTTTTAGAGCCGGGAAGACAGAAGTGTTATCAGATGACCTTCAGGCGGCTGATAAGAGGGTGGAGTTCATCCGAGTGGCGTGTCAGAACACGAGCAAGAAACTGAGTGGCTCCCTCCAGACCCAGGGACAGGATGCCACTGCCAAGGAGAAAAGACTGGTATGTGTTGCTGTCTGTGTTGTGCCTTTGTCATAAAAGTACAAATTGTTAAGCTAAAAGCAATCCATGACAAGTTTTCCCTAACAATGTAAGTAATACAGTAAACCCTTCAAATCATTCATGTGCCATGCCCTGCTCCGAATATGAATAAATATGTATAATCATTTAAACATGTTAAGTGCTGAAAACCTTTAAACAGGCGCTTACCAATGGCGGCGAGGCCTAAGCGAAGCACCGGCGCCCCACTGAATCAGCGAAGGCAATTGGCATTCAAATCTTTCAGTCTGACGAATCACAAAAGATCAGCAGTGATTGTGCTGCGTTACCCCGAGAATGGACGTAGTTCACTGAAACACCCAAAGGTAGCAGCACTAGCTGGATTCGTAGCCAGTATCTTTGTAATATTTCTCAAAGAGAGAAAATCCCCGAAACCGGGACAAAAGCATTGCCAGATGGGATTTTACGGGAATTTTTAGTACCAACCTACACCAAAATAAAGCTTTCATTCTAAACTACAGGCTGGCAACGAAATAACATGTCCCGGCAATGGCTGAGCTCATACTGAACTAATGTAGTGAGAGTGGCGTGACTAAATTTATAGATGTAGGCCGATAGGAGTGCTCGTGACACACTACATCAATAGATGTAGTCCGCACTCAATGTGTTAAACGAGGCTATAAAACTATGGTTGCAGAAGCCAAAATATTGTGTTTATAGCTCCCAAAAATCACCAATCTCCCATAAAACAATTAATATTCACCCCCATAAAAGTCGCTGATATGTCAAGTGGGTCCCGAATGTTTCTGAAAACCCATTCAATTTAATGTAGAGATTTTTGTTGAAAGTTTGAGCGTAAAAAGTGAGGCTAGGGGAATCTGGGAGTTGTGCTGCTGTGTCTTGAACTCAAACTCAAGCTACATGCCATTTCTCCTGTTTTGAATGTGGTTTTAAAATACTACCCAATTAGTTGCATTAACAAGACCTGTGAAGTTGTATCCTGCCTTGGCTGTCCTGGGGTGTTGCTGGTGGTACATTAAAATGGACCAGCCTTCGGCAAAAGTCTACCCCCTTGAGATTAAAAAACAATAAGTTAGGACGGGAAACAACGTCCTACAACAATAAATAGAACCTTTTTCCAAGCATTTGAGCCTTATTTAAAACTGTAAATGAAATATCTAAATAAATCATGACAAATAAATTATAAATTAATGTAAGGTGATTAATGAAAGAATAAAATTTGTACAGTTGATGAGTATTAACTATTTTGTTGCAGTTCCAGTATCCTGAAACATCCTTTTTGTGAATATATTCTGCATTCTGTGCCTTTAAAACTATTTTGATTTATATTTGTTTGAAATTAGCACATGTTTACTTAAAACGACGAATGACAATCATTGAAGTTGATCATAAACTGTTTTAAGTGGAACTGTGATAAATTGATGTTTTTCAGAAAAAGAATGCAGATTACCAGTTGGGGATTGCTATGCTAGAGAGTGGAAACTGCGAAGAGGATTGTTTGTTGAGGTAAAAAACGTTTGAATCTGTTTGGTTTATCTAACAGCAATATTTACTACGTGAAGTCCTACTGATGTACTGATAGTGAAAAGAACCACAAACACTGTCTAAGCTAGTTGAAATTAGTTTAGTTTTGATAATGAATTAAATAAGGTTATAATAATAAATCTATAATGTTGTAAATTTTTTTCAAAGAACATTCAATTTTTTATCAAATTGTTTTTAAAGTTACGTATTTTACCTAAAAGTACAAGCCCAACAAAAACCTCTTAAAAACAAGCAAGCTTAAACCATGTTAACCATTTTTATTACATTTGTTAACTCCTAGCAAGGTTTACAGTGTTTACACAAATACAACATAAGTATTGGTAAATAGATCATTTGTGTATTTTAGGACACCTATACTATTTTTTTAGTAATCTCTCAGAACTCCCTCGCATTTGACAAGTATTTGTCCGGTAGCCAGTTTGTTGGCTGATAAAAAAAATGCCTATTATATTAGCACACATCCTAGTACTGTACTTGAAAGACAAAATGTTATACTTTACACAATAATTGGAGTATTTCATTGCCAATGACAGAATTTTCAGCCATATTGTGACATATTGTGTTTTTAAAGAGATGACTAGACTTCTGAGGTTTAAAAAAAGGCAATATGTAAATAGTCTTACAGAAAAAGCACAAAACAAAAGTGATAAGAACCCTAGGAGTTTCTATAAGACAGTCAAACTATTTAGTGGGGGATATACACCCAATTAATTCTTATGAAGATAAGAAAAATGAAGACATTGTCACTGAGAAATACAAAGTGTTAGATGTCTGGAAAGGTTATTTTCAAGATTTATTAAATGGAGAAGAGGACACTGAGGGAGTAAACATAGATGAATGTTTAACCAAACCTTGAAGCACCGACTGTAGAAGAAGTACAGGAAACAACAAAGCCTCAGGGGAGAAGACGGGATAAGTGCTGAAATATTGAAAGCTGGAGGACTTGAGCTAGCGAAAAGGATACATAAAATAATATTACAAGTATGGAAGGAAGAAAATGTACCGGAAGATTGGAGAAATGCAATAATAATCCCATTCCACAAAAAGGTGATAAGTGGGACCCAAATAACTACCGAGGAATATCATTATTAAATACTTCCTATAAGGTAATTAATATCTTAGATACTCCAGAAGAGACTTGAGGAATACACAGAGGAAATAATTGAAGAACACCAAGCTGGTTTTCAAAGGGGCAGGTCCACAACAGATCAAATATTATAAATATACATTCTCAAGGAAAGCAATAGCTAAATATTGGGAGTTTGGTAAATCTTTTAAATAAGGAGACGTATGGAGAATTAAACATTATCAAGAACTAAGAGACCTGTTCAACGTGCCTCATATAATTGCAGAGGTTAAAAGAGGAGGCTTTGCTGGACGGGCCACATCATTACTGTAAATCAAATATGAAAAATTGATCCACTGGGGAGAAGACCACAAGGGAGACCAAAGAAACGCTGGACGGATGAAGTAAAGAAAAATATGGCCAGGATGGAAGTCAATGAAAATACCGCAAGAGACAGAACAACGTGGAGGCAGTGTGTTCGTGAGGCCAAGTACCACTTGGGGTACAAATGGCCATGGGAGTAAGAGTAAGTAATAATTGTGTTGCCAGCCCTTTGAAGTAGTTTCTTTGATAAATATTAGGTAAGATAAGTTAGATGGGTTTGGTTAGGTTGTTAGGTACTACTTGTGTATTGTTTTTTACATTCGTGATGGAAAATGTCCGCAATAAACCTTTGAACAACAGGTACTACTAGGTATTCAATCAGGTAGCAATGGCAACAAAATAATTATTTGGAGAAGTAGGCTTAGGCTACTTCAATATTTGGAATTATAATGTGTAAATTCCTAGATTGGCATCGGTTACACATTTGTGACTAAGTCTTCAATCCCAAAGTCAATACACTGATTGTTGGATCGCAGGACTGTGATATCGGAGTGTGGCAAGCTGGAGATGTGTCTGGCTAATGCGTGTGTGGACCATGAGGCCCGAGTAGAGACTGGTGTGTTAGCGACACTACAGACTGTGGTGGAGTCTGACATACCCACCATCATGAAGCACAAACGCCACCTCAACAAGCTCATACTAGACATGGACAGTGCTAGAACCAGGTGAGCAAGCAGTCCTCGAGCACAAGTAAATTACCTATGTTTTGAGGGAAATCAAAAACCTGTGTCAACAAAAAAGAAAACACTTTTGTATGAATATTCAAGATTGTCATCTTGCAGTATACAATAACTATCACATTGTCTCTATCTCACTCTTGAAAGGAATACAACAACGTATCTTTGTTCAGCTTAAATTGATTAAAGTACAGTAAATGATAGTTGACATCTAGTTGCTCATTATTTTGATTTAAATGAATAGAATGTATTCAAATCAAGAATGGTTCTCAAACTGATACAAGTGGTTCAAAAAGGGTATCATTTCACTCCTCACTCATAGAATTTATCTTTAGATTGATAATTTGTGTTTTACCTCGTGAAGTTTTGCTACACACAAATAACTTTCTCCTTTTATCAGGTATCAAACAGCTCAAAAGCACAACAATTATTCGCAAGGAAACAAAGTGGAGTCCATCCGGGACGAGTTGGAGGAGGCGGAAACCAAAGTAGAACAGTGTCGGGACACGCTGGCCTGTGAGATGTTCCAGCTGATGGCCAGAGAGACTGAGCTGGCCACCACTGTTCTGGAGTATGCCAGGCTACAACGGTCGTACCACCAGACAGCAATGGCCACTCTGGATGAAATGATTCCTGAGTTGGAGTCCAACATTTGTAAGTAACTTTAACTTTACAGCTTAGATTATTATTTGACGACTATGATCGTATATTGTGCTTGTTGGGTCATATTACATTTGTACACCACTGGGCTTTGTTGATGAAGAACCTTTTTGACCTCTCATTCAGGAACAACAATTTAATGTTCTACTGTTGCCATGAATAAACTGCATACTCACCACTGTGCAGTTGTTATTATGATTGCGCATTTCCTACTACTGTACTACAAGTATTATTTATATTAATTTATTATTATTACATTTGCATGCTAGCAACACGTATAGTTTAAACATACATAGTTTTTGCTTTAATTAATGTTGGCTTTGCAGCCTAAAAAAATAACAGATGCAGCACATTTTTCCAGCCCTAACTGTCAATATAGGCCTAAGTGAAGCTAAAAAATGTAACATAATCTAAAACACATGAAGTGAACAGTTTGATTGTTGACAGTGGACTGGAGTGTGAAGCCTGTGTTTGGAGTGTCACTGGAGGAGCATCTGAGAGTGACTGGTCGTAAGATCGCCTACCCTATAGAGCTGTGTGTGTGTGCTCTCAGTGTGCTGGCCATGGACGAGGAGGGACTGTTTAGAGTAGCTGGGGGTGAGTTGAGTGTCTTACCTGAAAACACAATATCTAGCTGTAATCGATTGCCTTGCTGTCCTCAATTGCAGGACTTCTGTCTTTGAGGCCAGTGTATAAACATTGCAAACCGCCAATGGCTATGTAATAATGATGTGAATTGGTTCAGAGTCTATCTTAAGCTGTTTAAGGCGCCTCTTTGACGATGACTACAGTATATTCGAGGTCCCTCAATGATAAGTTTTAGTTTTTTGACTTATTATTTTAGTTATTAATGCCATGGAAAAACCTTCTCATTTTTACTACTCCATTTATCACCATTTTTTTTGGCTAAAACTACACCCAAAGGAAAAAGGTGTACTGCTCTGCATGATTGTATGTGCTTATTTGTTTAGTAAACAAGAACAGTATGATGAGTTGAGATTGTAACTGTTCAGTCCGATTAATGTAAATCCACAAAAATGGTGATGAGTGGTGCGTCTAACATGTGAAACTCTAGTACAACCCGTAGAAGTAACCGCTTCCATGTCAAGCATATCCCATCACTTTGCATCAATGGCTATGTAATAATGATGTGAATTGGTTCAGAGTCTATCTTAAGCTGTTTAAGGCGCCTCTTTGACGATGACTACAGTATATTCGAGGTCCCTCAATGATAAGTTTTAGTTTTTTGACTTATTATTTTAGTTATTAATGCCATGGAAAAACCTTCTCATTTTTACTACTCCATTTATCACCATTTTTTTTGGCTAAAACTACACCCAAAGGAAAAAGGTGTACTGCTCTGCATGATTGTATGTGCTTATTTGTTTAGTAAACAAGAACAGTATGATGAGTTGAGATTGTAACTGTTCAGTCCGATTAATGTAAATCCACAAAAATGGTGATGAGTGGTGCGTCTAACATGTGAAACTCTAGTACAACCCGTAGAAGTAACCGCTTCCATGTCAAGCATATCCCATCACTTTGCATCAGATGACTAAATGTAACCCTCTTGTTTCAGGAGCGTCCAAGATAAAGCGGATGAAGCTGAGTTTGGACGCCAACTGCTTGAGCTTGGAGACTGCGCTAGAGTATCGGGACCCTCATGTGATAGCCTCGGTGCTCAAGAGCTACCTGCGCCAGCTCCCTGAACCTCTCATGACTTACCGGCTTCACGACCAGTGGATAGCTGCTGCCAAGTTAGTAGAGAAAACATCAAATTAGCTAATACAGTACTAAAATTAACTTAACTAAAATTGATATATTGTAACTGTATATTGTAATCTGTACTAAAATTTACATTTAATCTAACAACAAATTATATCCTCTTTGACTGTTATGACTGAGAAGTTCAAATCAATTGTTAAAAAAATGTCATGTTGAAACCAAACACTGTTTAGTTTAACTCGCAAGGGGTCACATTACCACTGTTCCAGGTGAATAAGTCATTACTGTATCTGTAGCCAACATGGTTCTTTTTGTGATCAAACCCTTGACCTTAGGTAATACTTTTCATTGCTTTATGCTTACCTGCTAAGTTAAGTATTGAAACTATATTAGCGACCACGCTTATCCCACTGTTAAAACCTTAAAAACAAGACGTCCCTTGATCAAGCTAATCAAAGTAAAGGCTAAAGTTACTACATTAGTAATCAGCAGAGTGTATTTTCACCACAGAGCACCAAACGACACCAGACTACAAGCTCTGTGGTCGGTGGTACAGCAACTGCCTACTGCAAACCTTGACAACCTGCGTTACCTTGTCAAGTTCCTAGCCTTGCTCTCTCAGAATCAAGAGGTGAGTGTTCAACTTGAATGTTCAATCGTAAAAAAAATCTAATAAACCTCCATCTTCAGCTTTGTAGTATCCACATAACTATGTAGTTTCAAATTCAAATTCAAATTCAAATAGTTTATTGCCATTAAGTATACATGTCATACAATAGGCCAGGTCAATGGAGATAATATACAATTCAAAGTACAATGTGTACAGAGTCAAGTGTAAATAGATGAACATGCTATACTAATAAACTAATAATACTGGGTTTTTGTACAAAAGTATTTGAGATGTATTGATAATGATGATAATAATACTGTTTATAGTTAAGCAAACAAGTTGAGTAAGTGCCTATGATAAAATAATTAAGGCTTAAGCTTTTCCAAGGTTTAAGCTTTCATTACCTAATGGCGGATACAATTCAATATAAATTAAATCCTTATACATGTATGTAAATATACATATACAAATGAAATCAAATGCACTTGCACAAAAACACTTTCTCTAGAGGCTTATATATCAAGCATCTTTTTTTTTATTCTATATGCATTCTGGAACTTAATCAAAGCCCCCTACAAGGACCAACTGCACTTAATCTAGATGATTTCAAAGTAGGTAAGTGAGAAATCTCTTAGTGCAAGATGGCTGGAAGGATGACTTCCATCTCTTCTCATCCTTATTCCTACCCTGGAGAGGACAAATTAACTGGTTCAACTCTTCTCTGCAGAAAAAACATAACATGAATGTAAATATTAAAGCGTTTAGTTAAAGAAAGTACTGGTTTTATGTGATGAAACAGTTGCATTGATTCCTATTTTTATAGACTCACCTTGATTGTGTTCAAAATGTTTTTGATCATAGTACAGCTGTGAAAATTGTAATTGATCTTATACAATATTGTATATTAAATCATAAATAATAATTCTTTACCCAATATTTCAATGTTATATTCAACGCTAAATGCTTACTAAGAAAGAACCAGGGAAGCTAAATAAGAAACAGGATATGCATGTTAAAGCTCAAAGGTCAAAGGCTGAAGACCAAGAACTGGAGGTGATTCACTTCACTTCTGTATGACTAACTGTGAGTAATAGTAAGTAAAATGTGCTCTTGTTAGGGTTAATGTTTATCTCCTAAAAATATATACTATACAACGTTTGGACCTAACCAAAATCTTTGGCAAAATGGCTATAAAACAAGATTTGTACTGGTATAAATTGTAATATATGATATATACTTACTTACTTACTCCCAGGGCCATTTATATTGGAGGTGATATTTGGCCACACCAACAAATCTTCGCCAAGTTAACCGGTCTTTCGCATCCTCCTCCGTTGCCCCAATTCTCTCCAAATCTTCTTGCACTTGCTTCCACCACCTCTGCTTAGGTCTTCCCCGGGGTCGTCTTCCTGTAGTGTTTCCCTTTAAAACTCTTCCCAGTCTACAATCTTCATCTCTTCTTAATATATGACCAGCCCATCTGATTCTTCGGCACTTGATTTCTCCAATTACATCTGTGCTATTATACAGTTGCCTTAATTCCCTATTGTGTCTTATTCTCCATTCTCCTAGCTCGAATATTGGTCCAAAAATCTTCCTTAAAATTTTATTTTCGAATACTATTAGTTTCTTTTCATCTCTTTTATTTAATTTCCAGGTTTCTGATCCATATAGGAAAACTGGGCAAATTATTGTTTTGTACAGCCTGATTTTTGTTTTCCGGGACAAAGATTTTGATGAAAGTAATTTATTGCAAGCATGAAAACATTTATTTGCTGAATTTATTCGGCTTTGGATTTCTAGTTCATCAGTATTTTGGTTGGATATAATTACTCCTAGGTATTTAAAACTGTTGACTTTTTCAAATGTATGGCCATCAATTTCTATTGGTTCTTCAGTATTATCCAGGTATCTTGAAAAGTGCATGTACTTAGTTTTTGAATCGTTTGTTTTTAGGCCTACTTTTTCTGTTTCTTTCATAAATACTTCGGTTAAGGCCTTCAGATCTTCTAGTTTTTCTGTGATTATAACCACATCATCTGCAAAGGCTAAGATGTTTATTTTGGTTCCTATTTTCACTCCTATGTTCTTCTCTGCTACCTTCTGTAGAGCTTCTTCAATGGCAAAATTAAATAGGATCGGTGATAGCCCATCTCCTTGTCTGACACCAGAGTTTACTTCAAAGGTGTTACAGTTGTGGCCATCAATTCTAACTGAACATTTAGATCCTGAAATACTCATTTTAATTAAGGCTATAATTTTATTCGGTATGCCGAATTTTCTTAGCTGTGTCCACAATTTGTCCCTTCTTATGCTGTCGTAAGCCTTCTGAAAGTCGATAAATAAGGCATAAAATTCTTTATTGAACTCCCAATAATTGGCTACTATTTCTTTTAAGATAAATATTTGGTCAGTTGTCGATCTACTCTTCATAAACCCCGCTTGATGCTCACCTATCAACTCGTGTGAGTATTGTTCTAGACGGTTTAAAATAATTTTTGAGATAACTTTATATGGGATACTAAGCAGTGAGATTCCCCTATAGTTATCACAAACTTCTTTCTCACCCTTTTTATGAATAGGGATAATGACTGCTTCCTGCCATTCCATTGGCATTTCTTCTTGTTCCCATATTTTTGTAATTAAATTCCACAGCTTTTCCACTATTATGTTTCCTCCTCTCTTTATTATATCTGCTGTTATTTCATCTCTTCCAGGAGCTTTGTCATTTTTCAGGGACTTAATTGCATATTGTACTTCTTCTTTTGTTGGTGTCTCGATAAAGGGTTCAACATAAAAGTAAATGTCCTCATTGTTTTGATTTTCTTCTTCTGTCGGGGTGATTTCATCAACATTCAGCAGTTCCTCAAAATATTCGCGCCACCTTTCAAGGACCTTGACACTTTCAGTTAGTAGTTGTCCCTCCTTATTCTTTATTCCATATGTACAAGTGAATGAATATATGATATATGTATGGTGTTATATGAATATAACCTAATCTATGTCCGTAGGTCAACAAGATGACGCCCCAGAACATAGCTATTGTGGTTGCCCCCAATCTACTTTGGTCGCCCAACGACGACGGCAACAACATCGGTATGAACATGAACACAGCCAGTCTACACAGCATCATATTGGACAGCCTAGTCACCTACAGTGATTACTTCTTTCCCGGGGAGTACAACATGTTTGTCACATTTACTAGGTAAGAGTATATCCCAGCTACAGCCGAGTCTCATTTACTAGGTAAGAGTATATCCCAGCTACAGCCGAGTCTCATTTACTAGGTAAGAGTATATCCCAGCTACAGCCGAGTCTCCCTTCACTGTAGGCGATTAAGTAGTGTGAGATTACATGCTATTCATGTAGCATGACCTATAATGGAACCCGTTTATTCAACCTTACTGTGTTTGGTTTAATCAGAATCGAGACTACTACAGTTGAGATACAATTTTAACTCTTACCTAAAGATTAGTTTTATAAACATAATAATTCTTAATTTATCTATACCTTGTTTTTCTGTGTTATACATTTAATGAAATATGGTTTCAAATGTGTTACATTTTACTGCCAAACCGGCACAAAAAGTCTAAGATTTACTGTCCTTTTTTATCCATATCTGCCTCTGCTGCAACTAGTTCTGTTGAAATTGGAGACCGAATTTAGATACAGTACTAATTATTGTTTATTACAAATTTAGATTCTTTAAGAAGACACAAATAAGCCTAGTTATTATAATCGTACATAAAAGACCTTATAAAAGATTCATGTTTTTAAATATATGATATACCTATATTTACCTATATTTTTTATGTGTGCATAGCGCATCATTAGTATACCATTCTGTAAAGTTTACCATAAACAGGGTGTCAACCGACCAGGAATACCGAGAATTATGCGTGATTTTTTCGAACCAGGAAAAAATGTGTGAATTTTATATTTTACCGGGAATTTTCAATTTGCCGTGATCGGGCATGAAGATGACGTTTCTGTGAACGCAGGAGACGATGATGATGTCCAAACGGTCTCTTGATTTTTTAGTGATTTTTCCGCGATCGCGCATGACGACAATGGCGTTTCTTTGACCGCGGGAGACGACGATGACCTTTCCGTGACGGCGAGAGACGACGATGACGTTTCCGTGACCGCGGGAGACGATTATTATATCCAAACGGCCGCTTGATTTGTTAGTGATTTTTCCGCGATCGTGCATGACGACGATGGCGTTTCCTTGACTGCAGGAGACGACGACTATGTGTCCGTGACCGCGGGAGACGATGATGACGTTTCTGTGACCGCGGGAAACAATGATGATGTCCAAAAATAATTGCTTGATGATGAAGACCTTGGGAAATTATTAGAATTACGCTACGATCGAGGAAATATTTCCGTTACCGCAGAACAATATCAGGATTTTGTCATGACCACGGAACAGTGGTGATGTTTCCGTGACTGAGGGAGTTATTCAGGATTTTGCAGTTGTCGCTGGAAACGATGATGGTGTCTCTACGACAGTGGATCATGATACAACCTTGAGTTTGGCTTGACCGAATATTTTCATCATGGCACACTTCTAGAATGTTTTATTTTTATTTTTTTTTGTAATATATTCATTTACCTTTAATGTGGTTTTTATTTAATGAAATTTAATGAAATTTTTGTAATTTCTGCATTAGTTACTTCTGTAGGCCACTTGCAAAACAACCCATAACTCCAAAATTACATACTATATGAAAGTACATATAGACAAGGGTTGGTGTAGTAATCCTTACAGAAAACTTGGTAAAATCAAATTATCAGTATTAAGAATCTATTTTTCAGGTGTCTGAACGGAGATTTAATAAATTTTTGTAGCCTATCGACATATCACTATTTTTAAAAAGTTATTCATAAACTGCAGGTTTAAGGATTAGTTTTTATTTTTTGGATTATTTAATCAGTACCGTAATATACAGGGTGGTAAAAAAGTCCCTGGACAGTTAAATATTTTAAAAAATAATGAAGATAGAGCTACAATACTTGGTACAAAGTTACAGGGCATAAAACTCTATTTTAACACATATTCAGTGATCCAATAACTCTTCAGGGGGACGGCCCACAAGGAGTTGGAAGAAAATCTTAAATGGAAGCATAGGTCAATATGCACATCAAATTAACACATTCACTGCTAATGATATGTAATACTTTTATAAATGGCTAAAAAACACAAACATTAACATGATCATGTTAATTGAGTGACAATATATCTTTAATTAAACAAATTTTATACTATAAATTGTGGATTAAAATATATTATGTAATTATATACATCATGTATTATATATCTGCTAATATACTTATGACGCACAAGTGCGTCATTAGCAGTGAACGTGTTAAAGGTCTTTTTTAGTAAAATACAATGCCGCAAACCGCACTTCAAAAGGTTGATCCTGCGCAAAATGGCAGATGTTCAAAGATTTCCTGAATCCGCCATTTTGAATCTTTGAACGACTGCCATTTTTTACTCAGGCATTTTTTTGAGCTTGAATTTACGGCATCGTAATCTACAAGTGAAGACCTTTAATTTGATGTGCATATCCAGTGTTGGGAAGTAGCGCGCTACAAGTAGCGACGCTACAGTAGCGCGCTACTTTTTTTGTAGCGTTAGCTGTAGCTACGCTACTTTTAAGATTTTGTAGCTTTAGCTGTAGCTAGCTACATTTTTAAAGTAGTCGTAGCGGAATTTTAGCTACTTTTCTCGCTACATTAACATTGTTTGAGATAGTGATTTTTATCATAACCTCAACCTTACGTGAAACAACCTCTTTCAAACTGAGATTTAAAAAAAAATTAGGCCTTACTTTCTTGGCTTCATACAGCTGGTTGCAGCCGTTTCATTCCCTATTACAACGTTGTGTGGACATGGAGGCCATTAAATGAGTGTTATCCACATTTTTGGCTCTCATTTCCTTAATTTACTACTCTATGATTACTCTCAGATAAAATAAAATCGCTAGATGCAGACGACGTTTAAACGTTACCGGTGACAAGAGAAGCTATTGAATGCTTGCAAGTGATTGACAGGGAAATTAGTAATCAATTTAGTTTGTTTATTATACCGATAGTGTTTCAACTTGGATTTTAATGGAAACCAACACTAAACCTTAAAATAATGAGAAAGCTGGTCTATCAACCTTTGCTTCAGCTGTTGATTGTGGTTCATCATCACAAGCCCTTCCTTGGTTAGATTACGAAGATTTTTCAAAGGTTTACTAGAATAACATAGAGGAAATTACCTGATGTGATTTAAGATATGCCTAGACTAAATGATAATTGCAACGAAAAAATCTCCATATAACATGAAAATTACATTGAAAAAATAGCATAGTTTGCTCCTGGTAACAGCTCTTGTATAGGACTATTAATTCCTAGGCTATGCTATGGTTTAAGACGAATACCAAGTTCCAAGTTCAATTATTAGGAATATATCTAAATCTGTTTAGTCCTTGCAAGAACAAGCCTACTACAGCCAACTTGTTACATAGCGAAGTAGGCCTACATGTTATTTTTACTTTACAAATTTCAAAATGTTTAAATTAAAAGCCGATTTCAGGATAAGTTACTGGATTCCATTTTCTGTACCAACTAGGTTGAAGCACAATTTGCCCTATGCATAATGACAATAAAGGACGATTTCTTGACATTGAAAAGTGTTATTCATAGAACAAGTAACTTATCACTTTAAAAGTTTATAGCAATGTCGTTTTTAACATTAAAAGTAAAGAAGGGCAATAAAGTCCAATTTCAGTAGGCTAGGCTCTGTAACACAAAAAAGTATTTTTAAATAATCGTTTTACACTTTTATTGGTCTTAATTGTTGATATAAGACATCTATAAATGAATCTATATTAAAGAAATAAAATGAGTTTTTAAAATATAGTTTGGTTGTATGTTTGAAATTAATGAAATTTACATTTAAGATGCTTAAAAATAATGCAATATTTAAAAATAAGTACTAAATATGATGGGACACCCAACTATTTGGTTCTGTTGTTGTAATGTTAGGTTTATAATGCCAAAAAATTAAATACAATCTAGGAATAATTTGCTTTCCAATTAATGTTAGATACAATACTGACATTTTTTTAATGTTTGTTCAGTAAAAATGTAGTTGCAATTAATTTTACATTTACCTTATGTGCGTGGAATAAAAAGTAACGTCTTTGGAAAAGTAGCTAAAATTGTAGCTGTAGCTACATTTCATTGTAGCTGTAGTTGTAGCTAGCTACTTTTTCGGAACTGTAGCTGTAGCTAAGCTACTTTTTTGGAAATGTAGCAGTAGTTGTAGCTAGCTACATTTTAAAAGTAGCTTCCCCAACACTGTGCATATCGACCTATTTTTACGTTAACAATTTTCTTCCGATTCCTAGGGCTGTGCCCCCTGAGGAGAAAGCGTATAATAGCAATGTAAATTAAATGAATCTTTGAACGCTGTCATTTTGCGCAGGATCAACCTTTTGAAGTGTGGTTTGCGGCATTGTATTCTACTAAAAAAGACCTTTAATTTGATGTGCATATTGACCTATGCTTCCATTTAAGAATTTCTTCCGACTCCTTGTGGGCCGTCCCCCTGAAGAGTTATTGGATCACTGAATATGTGTTAAAATAGAGTTTTATGCCCTGTAACTTTGTACCAAGTATTGTAGCTCTATCTTCATTATTTTTTAAAATATTTAACTGTCCAGGGACTTTTTTACCACCCTGTATAAAAATTGCATAGGCCTACTTGTGTCAGGCGATATTATAGTAATCATAAATTTTGTTTCTAACTGAGAATGCTTTTTGCTATAACTATAATAGCCAACAGTGTTAGCGCTAAAACAGCATTGCGGGAGTTCGCGCAAAAAAACGTTAGAAAGTATAGTATGAAAAGTACGACCTGAACTACCTGGCATTACTCATGAATTTTTTCTTGTTGGCCTGGTGGACACCCTGATAAAGCGTTAGATGTTTGAGTTAAGTGCATTCTTACATTTGACCTATACCAGATACATATTGTATGCCCAACTGAGTTGTTGTTTTACAGAGACCAGGTAGTCAATGGCCACACCAGGGCTGGCAGTGGAGACACCCATCTGATCAACACTGCAGACTCTGGTATGAAGAGGACGCAGTCAAACAGTAGTCTGTCTGAGGACCAGAGGTACGACATGTGGCATCCTCACTTCACCTCTCATTGCTTTGGCTTTTTACCTATAAAAAGAATTGACTCGTGTTCCGTTGGTTTGCCATATTTTAAAACTTGTAAAAAATTCTTGCTTGAGAAAAATATTTTTGATGAAATAGAATGTAGATCGCTTCAGCAAACCGCTTGGTGTTGGTAAATGTTTTGTGCTGGAGCTAGCAGTCTTTTTAGTTGCCAGGGTGATTCCCATTGATATTCTTGCTTTTGAGCGGAACCAGATTTTTTATGGGAATGGTGCTTTGAGATTTAATGAGGCTTAAGAAAGCTCTATGGTGACACCACTGGGAGGGGGATGAACGAGAAAGATGGACTGTGAAATTAATTGGGGATTTTGTATGCTAAAACTGCAAGCTTTGATTTTCTATATTTAGCTAAAAGATGGGAGGTAAATTTCTATCTGATTATGCTTTTTACCGGACATGGCTGTTTTAAGGCTAACCCTCACAAGATGGGTACTTCAGCAAACCCAAAATGTCAGTACAGTACATTTACCTTCCTCCATTGAGTGAGGTGGGAAGCGGTCGGAAGGGACCTTGAAACTTGAGGTGTGTGGATTTAAAAAACCCGGTAGGATTGGGTTCTGTTATTTGAATCCAAATTTGATATCTGACACTATGCTTTAAATATCTGACATTTTGGATGGACTATGTATTATGTCGTTTTTGGTTTAAAACTAAATCGTCATGATCATCATTAGTTTCTCAGGACGTAATTCCAACTTTACGTTTCCATCAATGTCGTAGCAGTCAACAAGTAATAGTCTATGGCAAATATTAAAACATCCTCAATGTAAAAATAATCAAATCAACAAACTAATACGGAACCGGAAACAAGGTGGGAATATAAATACAATTGTAAAATTGATTTGTATTTAACTATTGGAACATCAATGTTAGTATATATCATTGACACTCCTCTGTTCTGAAACAGCATGTTTTACTGGTATTGTCTACCAGCAGTCTTCACATTCAGTAGCTTACTAGACTTTCTAATGTTTGGTTCTTTAGATGATTTATTGCTGTCTGGTGTTTGGACATTTATTTGTTAAAGTATGCTGATATTTTAAACGTCACAATTTAAATAGCTGAACCAAGGTTAATAACTTAAAATATCATGATGTGCAATATAAATATTGTATTTTGTTAATGCAAAAATAAAAATTCTATCTTATTAACCTTAATATTCATGTATTAAGTACTTGAACGTCAAACTATCCTAATTGGAAAGTATCGAAATCCAAGCCTTTAATTATCTGATCCAATCTGAACCAAGCCTCAACTATGCTTCCAAACAGAATCTGATCCAAACTTAAATTCATCATCCGCACACCTCTACTTGCAACTGACAATCACCTAATCTCACCAGACTCTTGTTCACCTGATGTTGTTTAGTCTTTCGTGGAACACTGTTTCCGCATTCTCCAGGAGAAAGAAAAGAGAGCCAAATAGCTGTTATGTACCAATGCATTTTAATCCAGGTAGATTATCAATGCTAAAATTCCATCTATGGCAAGAAGTATTGTAAACTTTTGTAGTATTGTAAACTGTGTTTCTGGGAGGGCTTCTATTGGAGCCTGGACCAATGGAATTTTATTGGTTGAAAGTTCTACACCACAGGATGAATAGACCTATTCCCTGAAAGAGTGTAATGCATTCTCTGTCAAAAAAAGATTGCTGGACGCCTTTCCCGATTCCTCCCTCCACACCATCTTAACTAGTATTTATCAACATTATTCAGGTTTAGTGGGTTATTCAATTTAATTACTGTAACAATGTTCTTTAATGTAAGATGTAGAGTGAGTATCTAATGAGTATGCCTGTCAGGTAGTTGTGCTTGATGTGTTGTTTGGTGAACCCAATTGTTATTAATGTTTTTTGGTTTGTTTGCAGCAGTCCACCACAGGGGAGTCCAAAGCCAATGTCAAGAAATAGGAAAAACAAACCAGCCCCTGTCCCACCTTCAAACCCTCCCAAAGATACTGGGAAAGAAGCCAGTTCCAGTAGAGATTCTGGAAAAGAAACCAATCGTGGTGGTAAAAAAGAAACCAATTGTGATACTAAGAAAGGACCTTTATCTAATTATGAATCGGTGATGTTATTAAAAGAGTGTAAAAACTCTGAAGATTCTAGTCAATCTGCGACCGCCCCAGTTGTTGAAAATCCCTCTCAAGTTTTTATTGGGTTCGAGAGACTTGTGGTGGAAAAAACTCCAGAAGTCGGTGATAAAAAACAGGAAGACAAAGAGAAGAAAGGAGAAGAAGAGGAAAAGAAAGTAGAAACTATTCAGGGTGAATTAAAATCTGTGACAGGAACAAAAGAAGAAAATTTAACCCAAAGGTAAAAATTTGTTTTGGTAGAGGTATAAATAAATGTGCATGTAACATATAGTTATTAGTAAGAATATTTGAGTTATAATTATTAATAGTCAGTTCTTACAATGTAATTGTCTTAATATTTTTTATGTTTCCACTTTGAGTAATTAGTCATGTTTACATTGTAGTAGTTATGTAATTACTAATAACGTTACATAGGTCACAGGACTCACAGGAGACTAGGTTTCAAAGATTTTATTGGGAATAGCAAACTGAATGGGAGAGAGTTCATGCTTGGATAAACAACACAAATACTGTCTACCATACGCAAAAACTTTACAAATTAGGTACTGGAAAATTAGAACATTTTGCTGTCACTGAAATAATTTTAAACCAAGGAAAGTTTGAGTTGAAAAGTTCTATAGGTAGCCAGGATATTGTTATTGACAGTGTTATAAATATGTGCAAAGACTTTCAACAACACTTCAAATATTTGGCAAATAATAGAGTGGCATACAATATGAAAGCCTAATCAAAGTGATCAGAACTTGATATTTGATTTGCCAGAAGTTCAGCAGAGAGTACACCACTACGACCGCTGGAACCAGTCAAACCACCGCCCAAACCTGAGAAGCCAGAGTTCCGTGGGTCTGCTGAGCTAGTGTATGGAACCTTGGAGCGTAAACGACCGCCCAGACCTACGCCAGCGCCTCGCACTTCCCTGGTGGAGCCTGGTCAGTATACAAGTCAAACTGTTGCCAATCATGTAGCAATCATCTACTCGTGTATGTCCTACCTTCACCTCCCAGGACACTAGGTTCTAGCTCCAAACAATGTTTACATGTTACTTCAAGCTAGGATCGAGAGGATTGCAGAAGTATCACTTTTGTGGTTGGCGGGATTTGAACCTGATACTGAAGCTTCGTACTCTACCACTCACCAGGTTGTTCTCCATATAATCTAGACTGGAGGCACATTATGTCAAGATACAAACAAGTCTGTGAACACCTTGGCTCGTTAAATGTCATAGTTTAGAAAGAAATTTAAAAAAAACCCTAGGTACATTTTGGGGCCATTTCTGATTAATTTTTTATGATTTTATCTTGGCCATCACGCTCTACAGAAAAGTAGAATTTTCATTAGTCGGCTAGTAGTAGTAGACTGTTGACTGGTAGTTAAAGCTTTCCATTGCTTTGCTAAATCTGTAAAAATGTAGACACTGGAACAAACTATCAGGAGCTATTATCCATCCATCTTTTATTCTCCTCAAATGGACAATTAATTGTGACAAGAGGTGTAAGATATGTTACGTGTGTGAAAGTCCTTTAAACAACATAATCAGAAAAACAACTTAAAGCAAAAAAAAAAAAAAAAGGTTTATGTTAAAATGGTAGTAAACATTCTGTCATTACCCCATACTTTTCCATTGAACTATTGATTTGTTGCTGCAGGAGAGAAGCCAGCAATTCCAGAGCGACCCACGACTCTGCAGAGACCGCTCAGTAGCTCGTTCAGACACAGCAGGAACTTGGAGATGGACTCGGACAAATGTGGGGATGTAAGTGTGGAATGCAACAAATTGCATTCAAAATTTGGTACAGGTACAGAATTAGTCCAATCTGTTAACTAAAATTATTGATACATTATTCGTATAATTTTTTATTTTGTTTGCTTTGTCCTTTTTGTTTTGCATTTTTTTATTGTTTTGGCAAAATTTGATACACACTTTTTAATATTTTTAAACTCACTGTGCCATACCTGTGTGAGTTCTTGATGTCAACAACACATTGTCTCCAGTATTCATTTACATTCTCTTCATTGGAACCTATTTACCTTACAGCCCTTGACTTGACCTTTCCATTGTGGCTTTATTTTTATAGCTTGTCTTTTTTAGAGATGTTTTCAATGTGATTTTAATATTTGTGTCAGTTTCCTTAAAGTGTGTGTGGTCCATCCGAATCCCCACCAATAACCTGTCCTGTTGTGTATAAAAACTTTCAATATTTTACAAATTATTGTGAAGTCATTTTAACGTAGTTGCATCATTTATAGTTGTAGACTTTTGACACTGGCATGCATTACAACCATATCACTAACTTTGTTGAGAAGTAGACTTTTGATCATTGTGTTCACACAGCAGGGCCCTGTCTCATTGGAGAGAGCTCATGTATACTCAGTGGATAAGCAACAAGTTTCCATCATCCAAGTAACAGGAGACAAGGAATCCAGGATTCAAGGTTAGTTACATTCGAGTTTGATCCAGTTTTACCATATTTTTCAAATGCACAAGGGTCTACAATAGCAAATTGCTCTAGGTAAAGTGTTGGTACAAAATGAGAAGGTAGTAAAATGAGGAATATAGTGATGATGGGATTTGTAAATTGTCATGGGGTCCTTGGGATACTTTGATCATCTCCTGGGATTGTGGTGATTATTTTCTACTACCCCAGTCGCAATAATCTTGTAATAAGGTGGTTTCCATGATTGTACAAACATTGTCATATTTTTCCCCAATTATGTCTTAATTTGTGATATTTTCCTTCGAAACGACTATTTCAGAAGTCATTGTATGGATCTCAAGTGAGCAGTGAAGTACTGTCATAAAGATATTCTACCACTAAACCGTAAAGACTAACTTTAAACGCTCTTTTCTGTCAAGGTTCAAGCAATTTTATTTTAATTCAATAATTTTAATTTTTTTACAAACTAAATATTTGACAATCACTGAGTGGATTTTAAGGACATGATTAATCCTATAAGTTTCTGATTTAACGATCTACCTCAGTATACAGTTTCAAATCAGTCAATTGTTTTTGTATTCACCTGAAAGAAATCCATAGAGACTGAACTACTGAAACCACCATCATCTTTATAACATACTAGACTAGATGTTAAGTTTTTACCACTTATTTTGTCCTGAAGAAATAAATAGTAATAGTCGTGCTTGTAATGATTAATTTGACAAAGTTTAAAAAGATATCTTTTGATCAGATTTGTTTGCAACCTTTTGAAAACATCCTTATCTATCATTTTACAATTACAGATTGGTTTCCTACTTTTGTTATGTCTTTGGTGAGGTTTAAAAGTAAGTAAACAAATGTTTGATTTTGGGCCATGAATGGACGTTTTGGTTTTACCTAATAAAAGAAAACACATGAGACGTCTCCATACAATTTTCTCCATTTTGAAATAGTGTGTTTTTTATTCAAATCAAAGTGTTCATATGTTTTATTAAATGTAAATTCTCATTGGAATAATGTGCCATTATTTATCTTTTGTGTTTTTTTTTTATGAGTGTGTAGCCAGTTAGGGTTTTTGGAGTGTTTATGTTTACATAAAATAATATTGGTGGTACAAAATAATAAATACAATCATTAATTTTTGTATGTGTTGAAATGATTTGTGACCTGTTTTTGTGTGTGTCCCTTTGCAGTATGCATAAGTATAATTTTTTATTGAAAAGATGTTCCAAGATAGTGTTTTTTCTTTTGTTGTTTTTACGGTAAATCTATTTTTATAAGCACACATAAACACATATAACTACAATGATTCAATTAAATATAAAAAAAAAAAAACAATGGTAAATATGAGCATTAATAGTGTGTGCAGAAGATAAGTGCTCATCAGCTCTTTTTCCATATTTTTTTGTTAAACAATGTACCCTGAGGTGTCCAACACGTATTCTAAACAGGTTAGACTGTCGTCTAAATACACCTAACTGAAAAGCTATTCTATCTATGTACCTTAGTTGCTAACAATTGTTTATGTGTTTAATAATAAATAAATACATACTTTATTGTCTTGACAATATAAATTGTATCGACAGTACAATAAGGTTTAGTATTAACTAAAACTCTTTAAATTTTGATTCATTTTTCATTGAATATACATGGTGTCCCTAAGTAAACAGCCAAACTCCGGAAAATGGTTCTACGGGTCAAAATGAAGAGAAAATCAAGAATAACATTTTTTCCAAAATCACTTCGTTAACCAGATATCTACCATTTTGTATTTTTTACATAAACATTTTATTTTTGGATTTTTTCAACCGATCTTTATAAAACTAGATATGTAGGTTAAGTTGGAAAGGACCCATGTTAGAAAAAAAATTCATCTTGATCCAACATAAAATTTCAAAATGGCGGCCATTTTAATTTATTAAACTTAAATAACTCAAAAACGGCAAACTTTATAAAAAATGCCAAGTACACTTTTATTTAACATTTCCAATTCCCTTTCAAACAATATCAAGTTCCAAAAGATTGAATAAGAAATGGATGAAATGTTACGGTTTTTTGTTGAAAAAGGGGCAAGACTGACTTGCTTCTGCCTTATTCTACCCCATTTTACAACTAAAAATCGTAATATTTCAGCTATTTCTTACCTATTTGATCTTTTTGAACTTGTTATCGTTTGATAGGGAATTAATATGCTAAATAAAAGTGTTCTTGGCATTTTTTCTTAAAATTAGCCGTTTTGAGTTAAATTTAAGTTTAAAAAATTAAAATGGCCGCCATTGAACTTTTACGCCATGAAATGAACGCCATTTTGAAATTTTATGTTTGATCAAGATGAATTTTTTTTCTAACATGTCCCTTCTACTTTAACCAAGTTTTATAAAGATCGGTTGAAAAAAATCCAAAAATAAAAATGTTTATGTAAAAAATACAAAATGGCGGATATCTGGTTAACAAAGCGATTTTGGAAAAAATGTTATTCTTGATTTTCTCTTTATTTTGACCCATAGAACCATTTTTCGGAGTTTGGCTGTTTACTTACGGGACACCCTGTATACATACAATTCAGCTGTATTTAATCTTGACATTAAAGTAGACAAAGTCAGGTCCATAAAATTCTGTACCCTTCAGATATGTACTCCTTGATAAGTTAATCAAGGACCTTACAGATCAAGGTCTTGGTCTGTCTATGAAATCCTTTGTCTTGGAATATTTCCCAATATTTCTAAGATTATAGAGATAGAGAAGACAGAAATGTTTGCCTTTTCCCAGATTTAGGCAAATATTATTGGTAGGGCCTAATAGGGAATTGTATTATATTAGATTAAATTTACAATACACCAACACATAATAGTATTTTAAGGCAAATATAAGTGAAGGATGAGATAGCTTTGTTACTGACTAAGTTCAGCTGCTTCTTTAGCCGGAACCATAAAACCCTAAAGATAGGACAGTTGGGTCAAGTTTCAAGAAAGCGTGTGCCACTCATTGAGAGTTTATTTTATGTTGAAGGTTATACAACTATGTATTCAATAACTAAATTACCCACAATCGTGATTTTTTAGTCGGACAATGTAACTTTTTTGTATTAACAATACTAATGTTGTTTTCCAGAGAGGAAGGACAGTGGGGAGAAGCCAGAGAGACCCCCGAAACCTGAGGCATTGGCTGTCTCGGGCCACAATCCTGGACACAAACGTACTGCATCCGAGGGCAATATTGTGGACAACGGTGAGTCTTGGCAAGTTGAGACTGAATTATCAATCGTCACAGCTGTTTGTCTAAGGATCTTTAAAAGAGGTGAAACAGTTTCTTAAAGGCTCTAGGCCAGGAGCAGTAATAAAAGTTTTTGAAGGAAAGCCATGCCAGGCTGACTGTGTTTGCATAAGTGGTGGTAATGGGCTTCTTAGCACCCGAAGACTTAACAGATTCCCTCACCAAAGTTTTAAATAGGTGATGTGAACAAATGTGTACAGTGCATATGCTAAGAAGATATGTGCCAATTTCTCTGTTAGGTTAGGTTAGGCGCAGAAGGTTCTCTCTCTTCTCTTTGCCCCTCTGATGACCCTCTCTCCTTGAGTTCATAAAACCACCCTCATCAAATGTTTGAGATAAACCTGGGCCCACTCCTGTAGAAATACCTTACATTTATTTTATAGCTTGGACAACATTCTATCTATTGTAGGTGAAAGTATAATGTTGATTCTGTTTCCAGGTACAGGACCTCTTAAATCGCCAGTGAACCCTTCAAGACCACCCCGACCCATGCCCCCACCTCCTCCCACACCTAAGGTAAACTACAGCCTCAATATGCTTTATTTTAACTTCAATACTACCATAGAGCCCATGGATATGAAATCAGGAACAACAGATACAACAGCAAAATATATATTTTTTAAATTATTTGTTTAACCCTATCAGAAGCTCAGTTTATCACAGATTTTTCAAAGTACTAACATTCAATAATGCTGCAATACAATTTCCTAAAACGATTATCAGTACTAAGTTGCCGCCTCAAGCTCGTAAAAAATTCAGAGCACAAAGTCAGAAAATCGAGCAGAGCCTAGCCTTTATTAGAAAGCATCAGTGGAAACTGCGCTTTTGAAATTAAATTTCCAATGTCTCTGCAATCGTGGTAGAAGTTGAATATTTTGCTATTGATCACTAGAGACAACTGTGATCATTAGTTAAAATTTAGATCAACTTATTGTTGTGACAACACTCCAGTCTTTCACAATTTTGCAATCACAGGAGACAATTATGATGTCTTCTTGATTGCAGAGGATGCTCAAGATTTTTGCCGCTACCACAGGATACAATATTGATGTCTACCTTCGCAATCGTATCGTGCAATCGTGGCAAAATTTAGACCATCTATTGTGGTCGTAAAGACATCATGATTGTATCCCGGAATCACATAAAAATCCAAAAATATGTACCGCAGTCCTGTTAACATTGAACATCTTCTGTGATCACGGAAAGTTTAATATTGTCCCTTGAGAACAAGGCCAGAATGAGTTTATTGCAAAGACATCGTCATCATTGCCTGGGATTGCAGCAAAGTCTTTTACATTCCCTGCCATTGCAAAGACGTTGCTATCAAGTCATGTGATTGGGGCAATATTTTTGCACAACAACCATCGATAAACCGAAACCGACATTTTCTATAAATTCTTGGTTCAGTTGGTTTTTTGCTGAAAACCAGTAAAACCAATAACCCACTCATTCCTTATCGCTATCATTGTGTTCTGTGAACGTTAAGTGACAATAAAGAGTTGTTAATTAATATCTTCTGTTACTTGTCAGGCTCGTGAAAGCACTGACCTGTGACAGCCTCAGTGGAGAGTGTTTCCTCGCTTGCTCAAACGTTCTGCTTGACCATACAATCGCCTTAGACAATTGGCAAGTTGCAGTTACCCCTATACAGTCTTCTTGTGTACTTGTAAGAGTGAAATAACTAAGGTAAACATTATTTGTTATTTGTTGTATGCAGCGTGTTTTGTAAACATAAGAAATAGTGTAAACTGTATTTTTATCAATTCTTAAATTCTCTTTTAAAAGAAAATATTTGTGTCCTGAAAAACTGGAAAAGTTGCAGATTTTTTAGGTTCAATTTAGTGCAATGTTGTTATTTTTCATTCAATTGGTTCTATGGTTCAGTCAGTAAAAATTATATTTTTAAAAGGTCTTATTTGAATTGTAAGTATGTAGGCTGGGTAAAAGTATAGTTTAAATACTCCATTTTGCAAAAAGAAGTTTGCTTTCAACACTTATCAAATTAAAATTGTGTCCTTCCTTATATAGATTGAGACCCAAACAAATAAATATATTTTTCTCACTTAAAGTTTAATAATACTATACTTAATACTTGAGTGTCAAAAATCTAAAAGATTGTCCAATGTTCAACATAGTACAAAGTACAAAAAAAATTGTTTTCAGTTGAATTAATGAGTCATGAAAAAGATCATAATAATTCTAATGAATTCAACATTGAATCGACAATTTAACAACATTGTACCTCATACTTGCTTTCAGCTTTCATTAGTTAATCACCTAGTTAATCGGTTAGTACACTAGATAATTAACAAATCCAGTGTTTTAATGTTCAAAACTATTTGTCAAAGTTTTATCGATCCGCTTTAAAATAAGTTGTTTTTAATACTAGGGTAGTTTTAAAATAGTCGCACAAATATCCAATTCAATAGTAGAAAACATTGTCTGTGATAGATATAGATTCAGGTGTAAAGCAATATTCAGAACTAAAATACCACATTGGTTGCTAAACAATTATTGTTTAGTTCATTAATAATTATTTGCCTCCTATGGGTAATTAATTGCATACATATTTCTTTGTGGGGATGTTGTTGCCTAGGGGTATACAGCCCAATACAGTTCTGAAAAGTCATTACCGTACTTAGAGTATCCTATAAAAGTAGTATATTATTCAAAAAATTTATATTTTCCAACGTAACCATCTTGTCTTTTAGATATCGCCAACTTCTTCATATGAACCTGATATGCCATGCTTAAGTAGTTAGGTAGTATTTTTCACCCTGAGTTTTTAATTTATATATCTCATAAATTTGCCAAGAATTATGAGACAAGTAGTTTATTTTAACGATGATGGATTCCAATTGCTGAAATATTCAGACTGATTTTTTGTTGTTGGGGGGGGGGGGGGGATAAATAACTCAATTGATTTTGTACATTATCCAGTTAGTAGGCCTATATAAATGTCACAGTAAAAAATGAAGCTATGGTTGAAATAGTTCTGTAAAATACTTTATAACCCATGAATTCACAGTATTGTTTAGTAATAAAACAAACTTTCTGAGTGCAAACTATTTACTCTTTTCAATAACATTTTTGACAATACTTTGATCAGTTGTGCTGGCTAGGTATTTTTTATTTTATTTTAATTTATATAGTGTTAATTTAATACTGGACAGCAGATACTTAGTTTGTGCAACTGGTGGAAGCAGTAAGCTTGGAGGTCAGGTTAGTCAAGTCAATATCAGGTTAGGTTTTATTGTAGTTTGAGCTATTTGACTACTCTTTCTCGTTAAAAGTCGCTAGGTGGCATTTTATGCTTCTATTCATGCTTCATTTGATGCTTGTAAATGTAATTATCTGCTACTAAATTAGTAAATTAGGCCTAATGTTTTGTATTTAGTGTAACTATTGTCTGCATTTAACTTGTATAAAGATTACGATTTTGTTATTTTTGTATTAAATACAACGTGTAATTAAGCACTATTGCAGGGAAATTTATGTGGACATTTTATATCCTTAGTAATCAAGTAAAAAGGGCTTTTAATCAGTTAGTGAAATGTCTTCTATGTTACGTTTTACCATAAAAATATTTGTTGATAAAATCATACTGATATTTGTAAAATTATCTTTCAGCTGAAACTTGTGTTATTGAATGAGGAACTATATTATTTGTTATAAAACATGTATGTTATCTTTTTATAAATAATTATATGTAACTATCCTATGTACAGTATAGTAATTATTTTTAGCAAAAATTCCTTGTAAAACCACATGATAATTGTAATAGGTATTTGTATACTTTTTTGTCTGTTGTCTTATTTTAATCATTAATTTAAACGTACAAGTGCCTTAGTATTTTGTTGTTTACTTCTTTATTCAATATTTATGAGCACAAACATAGATGATTACAGCGAGTGTTTTGTTCTGTCCCTTCTTTAGGTTATAAATCGCAATATTTTATTTTATTAACATTGACTTTAATGTTTTGTACGAAGACACCTATCTTATCTGACATGCCAGCATTATTATAGCTTACATATTACACATGATAGATGTTTTCCAAGCTTCTTGATACCAATATTACTACTCATTGTCAGAAGTATGACTTCAAATTAAACAGTTGAAACGTTCTTATATATAATTTGATCTCAACAAAACAAGTGTTGTGTCATTGTAAATCTGTAAAAATTAAGCTTTTAACACGTTTGCTGGACTTGTGTGACGGCCAGTGTTGCGGGAATAGCTAATGCGCTGCATGGATGAGTGTGCGAAATGTTTGAATTTAGTTTCACCCAATATGAGAGGTATGCCCCTTAAAATATATTATAGCATGTTCTGCGTTCCAGTTGGTGGACGTAGCTGTACAAAAAACAACAGATAGAAGCACTAAACAAAGTGCTAATAAGCCCTTAGTATTGCCAGGATACTATGTGTGTATGTACAGAAAGAAGCAGGGGCAAAGTACCTTAAAAAATACCGCAAAGGTGTTGAGTATAATTTTAAGGTTAGGTTCTTTCCACATTGCTACTTTACACTGCACACTACATTATGTGTCATTATCGATATCTTCTTTCATGATACTAAATCTAAGCCAAAACCCCCACTCAAGACTGTTCGTGTTTGATGCGAAAACGAATTGGACCAAAATGTTGTAAGGGAACCGACACTACACGCGGCGACAATAACATCGTTCTCCACCAAGTGCTGGGCTCACACTAAGGCGCAGGAACTACAATTACAGTAGCCCACAGCAAACGTGTTAATGGTTGGTAAAAATCAATTCTAAAAGTCAATTAATGAACATTTTTTTATAACTTAAAATGTCAAAACTACAAACGTTTGTTTAAATTTTAATATTACTCTGTTAAATACAAACAAACAGCCACTTTGGGGGACTTTTCAAGTGTAAGAAACTTACTACTAACTAAACCAAAAAATCTATAAAAATAGCTCAAGTAAAAAAGTTTTTAACAGCCGAAGTGGACAATGTAGTGAGCAATTGAAAATAAATAACTTAAAGGCTTAATTTAGCCTAGTTACATTGCAGTACGAATTTAAATACATGTGTAACTATTAAACCTGTTTAGTAATTACTGTAACTTTAAATGAACTTATTATTTTTAATGTATTACTAATTTTCTTTATTAGCAAAATATTTAGAAATAGTCTGAATCATACTTTGCTAAAAATTTAGTATTATTTATTATTATCATGCAATTTATACCATACTATAGTTGTATCACTCATTGTATTATATATACATATATGTAAAATTTGATATTAAGTATTATTAAATAACATTATTACCACGATGCACGTTTATGGTCATTTGCCCTTCACAACTATTAAAATAATTTTTGTTTTGCAATTGAATTAATTATAAGATTCAACTTGTAGTTGTGTCCAATATGATACCTCAAACCACCATACCATTTTTGTGACATCATTTTTATAATTTGTCGATGTTTCTCTCGCTCACCTACTATATCTAGTTAAATGTGTTAAAACTTCTAAGATACATTATTAAATTAAAATTTTTCATTGTATTGCAACAAAAATAGCCGTTTTTAATACATGTGTGGAGGAAGTAGCAGTACTTTTAGTCCCTAGAGAGTAGTCAGCAAATTTCAATTGTAAGTAATCACATCAGTGGTGGATCCAGCCAGGGGGCGTGCGCCCCCCCTCGGACATTAAAAATGTTTAACTATCGGGTAGGCCTAACATGTATAGACATCCCAAGAACAAAACAACCTGCGCAGAAACGAAAAGATCACGTGGTTCGCGCCGGTAGTTGTGGCGTACCCTTCAAACCTGCGCGGCTCGAAATGGCCCAGGGGTCTTTTGTTTCTGGGATGTCATAAGGTTGGGTCTTGGCGACACTCTTACTAAATTACTTAACTGCCAGAAATTGACAAATTTATGTATTTTCCCACGTGTAACTTACTTAACCCTGCAAGTGTATTCCACTTTAGTAGCTTTTATATTGAGGAAGCAGTCACATTGGAGTATTGGGCTGAATAAAGGACAATTTGCCTACTTCAGAATGTGTTGCACTAGATCCTCTCCAGTCCATATGAACTAGATTGAATTCGGTGTGACCGTAAACTGATATTCTATGCTTTATTCCATAACCTGTCTTAAGATTACAGTTTAGTTGTATAATCAATGGTTCTGGCATTGACTTTAGATTGTACGTATGTGGGCCTAATCTTTTCATCCTATTGTAAATTTTGAAGCTCGTTTTGAGTGTGTTCCATGATTGATTTATTTATAAGTAACCCAATATTTATAGCCAATGAATTCGTATTGGTGAGGTTTGAGAGTGTTGACTAAATATTTTTTCTGAGTTTCTTTTTAGGTAAAATTATATTACTTGTGCTTTATTCTTTGCTCAAAATACTAAAGGCTAAGTAATGGTTTTGTAATAGATCGTTTTATTGTGTTAAGAGTTTAAATTGGTTGGGAAAGTTTTATTCAAACTGGCTGTATCGAAGAAATAATGGTATCCCCATCCCGCGATCGTGGCGGATTTGAGACCATCTACTGTGAACACCAAAAGACATTATGATCGTCTACCGCGATTTCAGAAATATCTTGAACATTTCGCGTGAACGCCAAGACTCGTTGTCGTTTCCTACGATACAGACAATACCCTGAACACCTACCACGGTTGCAATTTGCAAAGATATCATGGTTGTACATTGTGTTTTGCGATCGCGGGAAAATCTTCACGTCCTCAGCGATCACAGGAACATCATTGTCATCTTCCATGATCGCGGCGAAAGTATTGCATAACAACCAACCGGGCGCTTAGTCTATGTGGACGGGCAAATGCAAGGTTAAAAGAGGCCGCCAACCTCTTTAAAAAAAAAAAAAAAAAAAAAAAAAAAACCAATAGAATAAACTGAAACGTTTTTTACCAATTCAGGTTTTTTACAAATACTAGTAAACTGAACCCTACTTCAAAAACATGTTTTATTCTGAACACTCATAAAGTTCACAAATATTCGCTGATATACCTATGACGTATGGAAAAATTTTGTCCACACAATATGTAAAAATTTAAGTGTGTCTCCCGCTCCCCCTCAACAAAGTCCTGGATCCACCTCTGAATCACATGGATCAAAATTATTTATCATTTGAGCTATTAGGTTAAGTTTTAGCTTATGGTTGCATTCTTGACAATCTTCCGACATATTGAGAGTATAATGTACACTAACACAATCGATACAGACAAAATGATTGAATCATTTACTAAACAGCTGCTCATTTACATTAGCAGAATTGAAAACAAGCTGGATTCTTTTTCAGAGTTTATATTTACATAAATAGTATATATCACTACTATAGACTCGCATGTAAAACATGATCTCGCCCCGAAATGAGACTTTCGTGATGAGTATTAACAATATTTTTTATCAGGATGAAAAAAAAAACTACTTCATCAAACTTAAAAAAATTAAAACATAACTGTTTATGTCACCAGGAAAATTCAGCTGATCACTATTTGTTTTTGGTGTATGGAAATAGACGATTTTTGAAGATCTCATCTGTATGGAAATTGGGCTATATTCGAATAGAGAGTGATGAAAAAGTATTTTAGTTTTCCAGCTTAGTTTGTTAATTAATTGATGCTGAAATACCAAGGTGATAAATTGGGAAATTTAGTAAATTGACGTGTGGATGATTTATTTTCAAAGTTATTTAATTGATAAATTATTTAATTGAAATTTAATATCATTTACTGCAGGATAACAGGATAATGCAGTTTCTATTTCCCACATTCTTGATTCATTGGGATACCATAGTTACAAAATAGATTTTGAGCCAAACAATGTTTTACCCTTTCAGTTTTTTTTTTTTTTATTAAAAAAGAAGTTTAACATTACT